GGGGGGGGGCTCCAAGGCTCCGCGCTGAGAGATGCTGCTGTCACCCCAAATGTAAGAGAAATGTGTTGCACCAACAGCAATGCCGACACCGGTCCGACTCTCCCACCGCCTGGCGCTGCTGCTCGCTCACAGGAGCTTACGCAGGAAATGGTCCACGTGGGAACTGGGGTTGGGCAATCCCTGTCCAGGGGCAACCTGAAAAAGGGGCACTGGCGCTGTCCCCTCCCTGCAGGGCTGCAGGACGAGACTGGGGACCTTGGCATCTCAACCACCTTTCCTTTCCCAGACGCCTTTTCTCCTGGGTACCACTAGTGGCACACGTTCAGTCCCCAGGGGCTGGGCTTGAAGGCCATGGGAGTCATTTCCCAGAGAAGGGCAACCAAGAGGGAAACTGTGGCCTGGCTTTCTTCTCTATGTGCAGTTCTTCTGGCTCTCTCATTCCCATTAATTCCCATTGGGTTTTGCTTCTCCCTGACATTTCCCCTGGCAATTGCTATGTTTTCCAAATATCTCAGGGTTGGCTTGGCATGAGGGGTCCTGAACAAATCCTACCAAGAGCTTTCACGCTGCCTTTCATGGCAGTCTCTCTTTCTGGGGAAGTCAAACATTTTTTTTTAATGTGTTTTAATTATATCGTCCTCACATTGCAATTTCAACATATCACCATCTCTGATAGATATGCCATCACCTTGATTTACACAAATACGCTTCTCCTTATACAGAGGAGGAAATGAGAAAGTAATGGCCGTATTTCAAAACTGCCTACAGTGCAGGTGGCATAAAATCTTATCTGACAATTATATTTGAAGGTAGAAATTTAAATGAAATCGCTTTAGTATTTAGCAATTGACCAACATCAGATTATACAGCAAGCAGTTTAACGTAAAGAGGTATGCAGGCAGCAATATTTAAGTTTCTCGGCATCACTGAGGGCTGTTTATCGCTACCACAGCACAATTGAAAACTTGGTCCAAAAAAACCCCAGCAATATACAAATTTTTTAATGTAGCCCTTCTCCATTCTTGTCAGGGCCCTAAGGGCACAAATAAGCCTTAATGGTGCCCCCCAGCCCAGCACCTGTGGGCCCAGAACCCTCATTTCGGCTCAGCGTGGGTCTGTCAGTCCCTGCCCAGGCCATGCTGGGGCCAGGGAGTCCCCAAGGTCGCGGTCCCATCCCTAAGGGAGCCATCCCGATCGTGCTGCCCCTATCCCTTTTTGCTGCTAGCACATGCTCCTGTACAAATATTTAACAAACACCAAATTGCTACGAGAACGGTCAATGGTCAATGGTCAATGGTATTGACACAGGTATGATATGATGGGTGTACACAGAAGAGCCCAAACTGGGAGTGGTGCAATGGGCCCTGTGAGAAATCTCTATCTGTAGAGTTTGGCCAAGGAAAGGCTTCAGTGTCAGCCCCCGCCAGGCCCAGCCCTGGCTGGGGCAAGCAAAGCGAAGACTTTGGTTCTTGGTTTTCCCTCCTTGGCACAGCAGCACAGCTCGCTCTCTGCTTCACACACCTCCGTTTCTGCTAACTTTATTTGCTGGACTGAGAGAAGTCTAATGTGAACAGAAGATGCTGTTTAACATGAGGAACGTCTTCAGTACTGCAAAACTAACATGGACCAGCAAGCAGCTGCTGCGACATTTGTGGTAAGCTTATCCTTTAGTTTTGTCTGGCATTCAGTGCCATTTAGTCAGAAACCTGGAGACAAAAGCAGTTGAATCCTGTGAAGGAGCGCTTCAGAGAAAGGCACTTTTTTCACATTTTTAGTGCCCTTTTGCCTCCTGAGGCAGCAAGCTCAGCGTCTTCGGGAGACTGGAGGATTTTCCCTTTTACTGTTTGAGCAATGCTGTTAATTCTTTCTGTGGGATTTATCAGCAAAGTCAAGAAGGAATGTTTCTTCTTGAGATCAGTGTACATTGCAGGTACTGTAATCGATAAATAACTATGTGAATAAAGTACAGGAAATTCTTATGCATTTAGACAATTATCACGGCCAGTACTGGGGGGGAAATTCTCTCCTTGAAGCTGCAAGGTAAATCTCCGCTTCGGTATTTGTTTGTCTCTATATACACTGGAGGCGTGCAGGAAAAGCATGATGAGATACGACATTCAAAGTTAACCAAGTAGACCTGGCTCTGTGACCTGGCTTTGGGTTCTTTCTTCAGCCGCATGGACATGCCGGTCCCACGTGCCTTCAGAAAAGCACCTGTATTATGACAGTGTTTCAGTAAGCTGCTTCTCATGCTTGTCACATCTCCAGAATCAAGTTAAAATTAAAGACTTGAAACTTAATTCCACATCTTCCTGTGTTTTCATGTCAGTGTCAATAAGAATAGCATTAACAGTATTACGTAACAAATGGTTAGTGCTAGAAAACAATATATGAGAATTTCACATTCACAGGAATCCTAATATGCAATAAGTAATTTTTATTTATTATTTCTACATTACATCAGATGAAAAACAAATGTTTTCCAAGTTCTGTGATTTATTTGCTACAGTTTTAAAGTGGTCCTGAAGCCTGGGTAATAATTTTTTTAATGGATTTTGGATTTTCACTGCTGGCAATGGGTGGGAACTTTCGCTGGTTAGCAGAGATGATAGAAAAGCAAGTTTAGAAAACAACTGCAGTGAAGCTGTTTTTCCAATAAAGTCATCCAATTTGTTAAGCTCCCCACATAATGTTGTTTGTTATTTTTAGGGGTTTGTTAACATTATATCATAACATTGGCATAAGCTATCACCACTGTCTATGAGCATTACAAGTTAAGCATACTGTGGCTGATACTGCAGGATAACCTAATATCTATCAGTCTGTGCTAATAGTCCAAAGTAATTGCTATCCCTGCTCAGAAAGGAATAAGCCAACTGCTTGACCTTGCAGTTCTGCCTGTTACATTTTAACTTTGGTATGTTGTCTCATGCTCCTTCTCTGGAATTTATTTGTCCGCTTCTGCCTCTCTTTCAGAGGATGTAGACAACCGGGAAGGGAGCACATTTCTTGAAGGTCATAGCAATAAAACAGAATCATCATGGGAACATAAAAGTCAGGAGCAGTCCTCTAGTCCAACTTTCTGCTTGTAGCCTGACAACAGCATATGAGGTCAACTATGTCTTTGCTTAGCCACGTCTTGAAAATCTCCAATGATGGTAATTCCAAATCCTCTCTGGGTAACCAATTTTAGTGCTTCACTATCTACCAGTGCAGAAATTAGTGGTGGATATTTCTCAGTCCACTTCTCAATAGTGCCAAGTGGTAAAACAAGACCCATGAACAGAAGTTCCTGCTTGGCAGGTTGAGATTAGACAATCTCTAACTCCCTGGAAGGAATTGTAGCAATCAGAAACTCAAGGAGCAGCATCAAAGCTGCTCTGGAAGCAATGCAGCAAAGGAGAGTAGAGTGACCAAGCAGCAAACAATTGCATAGGTTTTAAAACAGGAAATTTTTTTTTTTGTTCCCCCAAACTGGATAGAGTAGCAAATTCCTATTCTGAAAAATAATAACAATAAAAAAGTCACAGTTATGAAACTCATTTTTTTCAGAATATACACATTGAAGTTAGAGCCAATCCCTTGAATATCAACTAAGAGCCTTGGTATTCAAGGCTGGATTTCAGTAGCTTGCCTTGGTAGGCTGTTTTTCATGCTATGGTGGAAGCTACCTGACCCATGAATGCCCAGCCTTTCTTATAATGTCAGGTATATTCCATTCTGCAGGTGTTGAATATAGAAGTACAGGAAATAATTTTGCTAGCTCTGTAACACTCACTTCAAATTAAAAAATGGGGCATTTGGATGCTTCCTAACTGTTTCTAGGGTGTTTACCTCAGGCTGGAGGCAAGCATGGGGACAGAAGGATAACACTTATAGCAAAATATGTAACTTTATTTTACTAATGATTGTAATGCTGTGAAGATTAGTCTTTATGGCTTGGAAATGTGTATTATTATTATTTTAAATGGTACCGCCACAAATATTTATTACTGAAGTCACACATACAGTTTAGATTGTATTTAACTTAAGATTCAATTTTCAGAGACACTCTAAGAAAATACACAGGCAACATTACTCTAAACTTAGAAAAACAGAAATCCACTCGTTTATCTGCACAGGGCTACAGAAAAGTCCAGCCCTTCTGCACTTTGGGTGCCCGTGCAGAGACCAGGCTCTGATGGTGCACATTGATGGGAATTTTTGTGGTGCTTAGCTTAGCAGTGGAGCCTCTGGCAGTCTGCATAATCTCTGGAGCACATTGCCCTGATACATGACGGCATATACCGAGTTCCAGCAATATTAATCCGCAGGGCATCTGCATGGGCTACTTCTTCATATATTCTCCGTGTTTCTGCTGTTACACATAATCCTTTTCACTGTGAAAAAAGTCTTCTTAGTAATGGCAGTGGTGTAAAGCACTTTTAAGGTGTCCAGAAGGAAAACACACAGCATTTAGATATCTTCAGTTAAAGAAAAAATTCTTCTACATGATTTGAAAAGTCATGCAGTTTGTGCTGTGATGTCAAACAGACAGTAATAATGTGTGATATCATTCCCTTAAGAACTGCTCTCTTCCTCCAGTTTCAGATGGAGCCTATGCCACAAAATTCTATGGAAAAAGTCTTTCCCTCCAGATTTAACTAATATAACGCCAAAATCTTTAGGAGCCATAATAGGCCTATCCACTACCAGGGCTTTTATTCATTGGAATTAACAGAAAAATGAACAGAAATTCTGTTTTTTTCCCCTGAATATTCCTAGCTGTGGACTCCAGGGCTTGGCAATTGGGAGGTGCTGTAACTGCACCTGGCCTCCAAGGTGAGCTAAAGGGAAGCTTACTTGGAAATAAAAAAGTGGTAGCTGTACTCCATCCATTTGTTTGCATTGCTTCGATCTCCATTCCATCAGATCAGTCTAAAAATGCTGCCTTTAATTAAAAAGACATGTTTAGCTTGTACCCATCCAAACCTTAGCAAGAGTACAGTACAGGCTGTGTTATGCTAAGGAGGGCTGTAGATACAGTGCCAGAGAAGTGGCAAAGCTGTCACTCTCCCTTATTAATCTTAAGTCTGTGGAAACACGGGCTTGGACGTGACTTTCATTAAGACGCCTCATCTAAGCTAGAGAAAATTTGACCATGTAACTTCTGTGGGTGATTATCAACATCCAATTTCATGTGATTCTGAAGTCGTAAATCTGTCTGGAGGCCAGAATACACTGAATTAATACACTGCACATGCCCAGAATATCTCCTGTGTGGTAGGAGAAGGACCAGAGCACATGGCTATTTTGTTGGGGTTTTCTACCCTTTTCCCCAGTGTAATCAAGAGGTTTCATACACATTTATAGAAATGCCACCATTGGTATCGGTTAGGGTGGAACATGGCAAGTGTCTACTCATCCACAAAGCATGAAGGAGGGAGAAAGAGCACCAAG